TCCATGCCCACGAGCTGATCCTTTTCCATGAGCTGACCCCTGCCCTTAAACTGATCCATTTCCATGGGCTGATCCATGCCCACGAGCTGATCCATTTCCATGGGCTGATCCATGCCCACAGGCTGATCCAAGGATGGCCAGGATGCTCCCGTTGTTATCCCCCCACTGCAGTGCCTCTGCACGTGCTGTGTTTGTTGCAAAGTCACAGGCACCTTCTGCCTCCCTCTCCCTTGGCCTCCAGCCTCTCCTGGAGCAGATTTTTCCAGGGAGATATTGTAAAATTAAAATAAACGGCCCCGCACTTGGCTCTGCCTCTGGGTGCCCTGCTGAAGGTAATAATGTTGTAAGTGGCCATCAAAAGGAATTAAGAGATGTGCAGCCGGAAAGCAGATTTGCTTGCAGGCTCCCAGGGCAGATTTGACTAATGGAAGAGACCTTGGCTCTTATTCCCTTCCTGCCTTTTTTTTCTCCCTGTGTTCCCTGCTGCTGCAAGGGCTCCGTGCCTCTTCTCCAGGATTGTCCCTTCCCACCACCCAGTCCTGCCTCTCTGAGTTTCCCCAGCCCCTGGCATCTGCTCTGCCCGTTCTGCCTGGCTTCACCCACCCTTCTCCAGCAGGATTCCTTCCCACTGACCCCATGGCCCTCCCTGCTCACATCCCTCTCCTGCCTGGATTTTCCTCTGCCTCACTTCCAGCTCTCCTCTCCACAATTAAAGGCCCAGCTGGGACAGGGGTTTTTTGCAAGGCAAGTCAGTGATGACTTCAGATCTTCCCAAACCCACTGTCCAAGCACAGAATTCCTTCTCAGGTGTGAGGTAATTGAGGCAGAAACACAAATGCGATGAGGGAGGGGCAGATGGAGAATCCTCAGCCTTCCCCTTTAAGCTGCCATGAGCAGGGAAAATCCTTTGGACGGCCCGGCTGAAAGGCCACAGGAGCAAAGGTGGGAAATGTGTGGGACCTGTGGAGTCCTGGCTGACTTCTTTCCGTTTCGGTTCTGCTGCTTTTGCTTTTTTCTCTCCATTTTAGAAGCTCTGCATGAGGGTGAAGAGGCAGAGAGCCGCCTCTGGGGCAGGATGCAGCTCATCTGCATCCAAGATGTTCTTCCTGAGCCCTTCGGAGCCTCCAGGTTTTCAACAGGGCTTTATTTTGTGATTCCTGCAGGGAGATATCCCACCCGCCGCCTCTGCTGTCGCCCCAGAGCGCTCCCCACATCGCCCTGGGGCCCCACTTGAGACCTCCCTTCCTCGGGGTGCCTTCGGCGCTGTGCCAGACGCCAGGTGAGCGCCCGGGTGCTGCTGTGGGCAGCAGGGCAGGGCAGAGGTGCAGCCTGTGGCCATCTGCAGCCCAGCCACGTTCTCTGTGTCTCCCCGTGACCCCTGTGCCAGCTTCACCCTGGTTCTGCAGCCAGAGGAGCGATTCCTTGGCTGCTCTTCCTGGCCCCGTGCTCCGGGCACGCTGCCGTGGCGGGGACGGGTGGCACTCGGGTTCCTTTTCCCCTCTGGGGAGCCGGCCCTGGGGCAGCCCGGGCTCCGGGCTGGCACGAGTGACCCGCGGCCTTCTCCTGCCCAGGTTACGGCTTCCTGCAGCCGGCACAGGCGGAGATGTTCGCGCGGCAGCAGGAGATGCTACGGAAGCAAAACCTGGCCAGGTAGGAGTGGGAAGGGCTGGCTTTGCTGGGTGTGGGGCCGGCTGGGCACAGATGGCACAGCGGGGTCTGCTCAGGCCCGTGGCAGGAGCTCTGGCAGGCTGGTGCTGTGACCTGTCCTGGGGAGCCTGTTCAGTGCCCAAACACCCTCTGGGTGAAAAACCTTTTCCTGATATCCAACCTAAACCTTCCCTGACACAAGTTCAGGCCATTTTTTCGGGTCCTGTAACTGATCACTTGAGAGAACAGATCACCTATTAGGCTTTTAATAGCAGGTGTGCAGGTGTGGAGCCGCCAGCTGGCTCCGGCGAGGCCGGGTGGGAGCACGTTCCCCCGGCCCCCCAGCAGAACCGCCTCTCCCCACGCAGGCTGGAGATGTCGGCCGAGCTGATCCGGCAGAAGGAGCTGGAGACGCTGCACCGGCAGCGGCTGCTGGCCGCGGACCCGCTGAGCCTGCACCCGGGGCTGCCCCCGGACCACCCCGCGCTGCGCAGCGTGCACGACGGCGCCGAGGGCCACGCGCTGCGCGACGAGCTGTCCCGGCGCAACGCCATGCTGGTGCTGCGGCACAGCACGGCCCCGCTGCTGGCGCTGGCGCCCGGCGGCCCCGGCGCGCCGCCCAAGGAGCCGCCGCGCCGCGCCGGCCGCAAGGCCCCGCAGCCCCGCGCCGAGCCGGGCCCCGAGGCGCGCACGCGGGACGGCAACGACGACGAGATGAAGGACTCGGAGAGCGACGCCGAGCCCGCCGAGGACAAGGCCGAGGGCGCCAAGGCCGAGGGCGGCCCGGCAGCGGAGCCGAAGGAGTGCAAGGACGGCGCGGGCAAGGCCTGCGAGGCGGCCAAGGAGCCGGGCGAGGCGGCGGCGCCCGGCGTGCCCTGCAGCTCCTCGAGCGCCGAGTCCCCCAGCCACCTGCTGGCGCCCGGCGTGGGCAAGGCCGAGGTGAAGTACCTGCCGCCGGCCTCCCTGCCCGCGCCGCAGCCGCTGCCCTTCGGCTTCCCCTACACCGTCAGCCCCTACTTCCACACAGGTGAGGGACGCGCCGGGCTGGGGCGTGGGGCTCTCCCCCTGCTCCTGGTTGTGCTTGCTGGGGCGGGTCTCTCGTTCGGAAAGGAGGAATTCTGCCTGGAAAAAGGGTGGTCAGGCGTTGGAAGGGCTGCCCAGGGAGGTGGCGGTGTCACCGTGCTGGGGGTGCCCAAGGAGGGATGGACGTGGCACTCGGTGCTCTGGGCTGGGACGAGGTGGGCGTTGGTCAGAGGTTGGATTTGGTGGCTTGGCAGGCGTTTCCAGCCGGATTCCCAGGTGCCCTGTGCCAGGGCAGGGCCAGCTGGGCGCTTGGTGCTGCGTTTCTGTGCCACAGGCAGGGGAGAGCTGGGCTGGGTGGGACGGGCAGGCACTGCCAGCTCTCTGTTCTCACTGCAGGGCACAAATGGGGCGTCCAACCCAGCCAAGAACCCAAATCTCCCCGGCTAATGACCTGGCAGAGCAATTAGCAGGCGGCAGGGCTGCTGGCACACAGGGGGAGCAGGGGGGCTGTGCTCTGCTGCTCCCCACGCCAGGAGCTGCCTGGGAGCAGGCTGCCCATCCCTCATTAGAGCTGCCTCCCAGCCAGGAAGGAGGAAGCGATTTTTCAGCGACAGGCAGGTGGCCAGGATGATAAATACTCCTGCTGCCTCGGGCTGCCCAGCGTTCCTCGCAGGAGCCTTTTCCTCCCGGCCATTAGAGAGGGACGGGCTCAGCCCCGTGGGGCTGGCGAGAGGCTCTGCAGGGAGGCCTGGGCTGGGGCTGGCTCCCCTCCTTCCCTCCCCCAGCAGTGTCTGAGTCGCTGAAATTTCCCATTTATTGTTAGCACCTCGGATTTCTGTCCCCAGCGCGCCCCGAGGCCCCGGCACGGCTCCGGGCTGGGGTTCCCTGCTCTCCTCTCCCGGGCTGTGCAGCCGTGCCAGGGCTGGATCCTTTCCGAGGGCAGTTGGAGGAGGAGAAGGAGGAGCTGCTGTGTCCCTGTCCTGTTCCTGCTCTATCCCTGCCCTGTCCCTTCTCTGTCCCCCTCCTGTCCCTATCCCTGCCCCTGCCCTGTCCCCGCCGGCTCCGGCTCCATTCCCGGAGCTGCTTTCTGGGGCTGTGGCTCGATGACCTCATCTCCTCAAGGTTTCAGCCTCCTCCTCCTCCTCCTCCTCCTCCTCCTGCAGCCCGGTCCTTAGGAAGAGGTGAGGGATGGAGTGCAGGAGGCTGAAATCCCTCTATCGATCGCAGAGCCACTCCCGCAGCCCTGTGCTGACCCCGGCGCTGCCAGGAGCGTGCCCAGGGCACGGGGAGGGGGCAGAGCCGAGCCCAGGGCTGCTGGGCTGGCTGCCAGGGGTGGCACTGCGTGCCCAGCCGGCCCCGAGCTGTCCCCTGTGGTGCCAGGGGCTCGGGCAGTGCCCGCAGAGCCGCTGCAGCCCTGGCAGCGCTGCCCTGCAGCCCCTGCAGCCCCTGCAGCCCTGGCAGCTCTGCCCTGCAGCCCCTGCAGCCCCTGCAGCCCCTGCAGCCCCTGCAGCCCCTGGCCTCTCCTGTGCAGCAGCTGGGTCTCGGGAGGAGCAGGGGGATTAGGAAGGGGCCGTGCCCGGTGCCCGGGCCGTGCTGGGACTCCTGTCCTGGCACCATGGATTCCTTGCAGCCCTGCCCGCCGGGCCCCAGCTGCTGCAGCGCTCCCGATCCATTGGGAGCATCATTCACCAGCCGGGCAGGCGGAGCAGGCTGCCAGGGGAGGCTGTGCCCTCCTGCCCTGCCAGGGGAGGCTGTGCCCTCCTGCCGGGGGAGGCTGTGCCCTCCTGCCCTGCCGGGGGAGGCTGTGCCCTCCTGCCGGGGGAGTCTGTGCCCTCCTGCCCTGCCAGGGGAGGCTGTGCCCTCCTGCCGGGGGAGGCTGTGCCCTCTGGGGCTCCTCGCAGAGCTGACACCTCCTTGGTGGGATGGAAGGTGCGGCCCCGCGGCCGCCTGGCACCCCTTTGTTCTCACTGTCCTGCCAGGGGCACAGGAGGCAGGGCAGGAGCCCCTCTGCCCCAGGGAGCTCAGGGTGGGCAGGGCTGGGGCTGCTCCAGGCACACGGAGGGGAAGGGACCCTGAGCAGCCCCAGAAACCCTCCCCAGGGTCATGGCTGGGCTGGCAGGGGGCACAGCTGGACACCAGCCTGGCTGAGGGCACCCAGGGTGGACCTGGTGAGGGTCCTGAGGGGTCTGGGGGGAACAGAGCTCTGGCAAGGAGGGCCCAGAGGTGTGAGGAGGGAGGAGCAGCCGTGTCCCTGCTCCAGAGCTGGAGAGGCAGCAGCCAGCACAGAACCCACGAGGGGTCGGCTTGGGGGGACCTCTGGAGCTCCTCTGGTCCAGCCCCTCCTCCAGGATCTCCTGAGAGCCCCCTCGGGGTTTTGGGGAGCCTTGGAGAGCTGCAGCCAAGCCAGGCTGGCTCTGGGGCTGCCCCTCCTCTTTGCTGTGGCTGTGGCAGGGCTCCCCTGGGCTCTGGAGCTGCCCCCTGCCCAAACTGAGGGGTGCAGGGACAGCCAGGGGAGCAAGAATTTGGGAAGGGAAATGTCTGGGACATTCCCAGCCCAGTTCCCAGCAGCTCAGGGACATTCCCAGCCCAATTCCCAGCAGCTCAGGGATATTCCCAGCACAATTCCCAGCAGCTCAGGACATTCCCAGCCCAATTCCCAGCAGCTCAGGGACATTCCCAGCAGCTCAAGGACATTCCCAGCCCAATTCCCAGCAGCTCAGGGACATTCCCAGCCCAATTCCCAGCAGCTCAGGGACATTCCCAGCACAATTCCCAGCAGCTCAGGGTGGAACGCAGCCCCGGGGCAGGCAGAGCTCCCGCTCTGCGCTGTGTGTGCAGAGGCTCCTGCAGCTCCCCCCTGCCCTGCTTCCCCCGCAGCTGAGGAGCATTAGGCACATGAAATGCATTAGTTGGGATTTTTCCTGCCCTCCCCCAGCCGGGGACCTCCAGGAGGAAGAGGCCGATGAATTGACCCTGCCCAGCGCTCTAATTGACAGGTCATTAAAGATGAATGTGTGGCTAGAGAGAAATATTCAGATTGCAGGCTGGTTGTTGTCCGTGTGGGATTTTAATGATTTATGTTCCTTTCTCCTCCCCTCCTTCCCACCCCTCTGGCTCCAAACAATCCAGGCACCATGGGAGGTCTGTTTCTGGACGGGGAGGAGAGCCCCGCGCTGGAAGACATCAGCAAATGGACGGTGGAGGATGTCTGCAGCTTCGTGTCCAGCTTGTCTGGCTGCACCGAGTACACTCAGGTAAATCCAGCGGCCCCAGGAGGTCCTGGCAGGAGCATCCCGGGTCCTGCAGCCCATTCCCTCCCTGCTGGGAGCTGCCTCTGGAGCCCTGCAGGGCCCTCCCGGGGTAAAACCCCCGGGGATGGCTGAACCTGCTGCCAGCCAAGGTGTGGGATGGGCCCTGCGAGCTTCCCTGGAACGCTGCACGTCCAGGGAGTCCTGGCTGGAATGCTGCAGCTCCAGAACCTGGAGAGTCCTGGAACATTCCCTGGAATGCTGATTCTAGAACCAGGAAATCCCTGCAGAATTCCCTGGAATGCTGTGGCTCCAGAACCAGGAAATCCCTGCAAAATTCCCTGGAATGCTGTGGTTCCAGAACCAGGGAATCCCTGCAGAATTCCCTGGAATGCTGTGGTTCCAGAACCAGG